GTTCTCTTTCCTTGATTAAATTGTTATCCAAGTTGTGAGAATTGTTATTGCATCCGTTAAATGATTTTATCATTCTATGTAATTCAATAGGTTTTGGGATGATAATGGTCTTAATATGGAGTCTAGATGTCACACATCAATATTTTCAACCTTGCACGTTTTCCTAGAATCTTTTATTTAATAGATTTGAGATGTTTGTCTCTTTGTGTTCATTGTATGTGACATTAACTATGTTTATAAGCTAGACATGCTACATATTTCCAACCTTCAATTTTGTTTAGATCTGTAAGTTAGATTGAGTTACTTATCCATAAAAAAAAAAAAAAAGGATAAAAAAATTTGTCCTCGACTTCTAAGAAGATGAAAACCAAGCAAAACAAAATTAAAAAGATAAATAAATAAAATAAAAATATAATAACTTGATGAAAGGTGGTAGTTTCCTTCTAGGTTGTTATCAAGTTTTCTCACTTTCGAAATGGATTAATATCCTTGATTAAAAAAAAAAAAAAAGGATAAAAAAATTTGTCCTCGACTTCTAAGAAGATGAAAACCAAGCAAAACAAAATTAAAAAGATAAATAAATAAAATAAAAATATAATAACTTGATGAAAGGTGGTAGTTTCCTTCTAGGTTGTTATCAAGTTTTCTCACTTTCGAAATGGATTAATATCCTTGAGTTTTTTATTAAATGCTTTCCTTGTATTGTTGATGTCTGGATATGTTGAGTTCATCCCTAATATATAATTTCATAAATGGCTCTTGGATCTACACGGATTTTATGTGCTGTCAAAATTGGTATTGAATTTCATTTTGATGTTGTAAAGGGAGAAAGATATGCAAGTTTATGGAATCACATTTTTGTTTAAAAAAAAAAAAAAAAAGAATTTCTGGTTCACTGCAAATATTGAAGTTTATTGACCCAAAAGGCTATTTGAAAAACTTGTTCAAACTTTTATTATTGTGAAGAGAATAAACAGGTAAAAGTGAAAGAATCCAAAACTTTCAACCATTTGTTGTTGTCAACTTTGTTACTTTTCATTTCTTTTGAGCGGAAATGAAATATGTTGAATTATATTTTACAAGAGGTTTAATTTCATAATTAATGTGCATAATTAGACCAAGTGTAACTCTTGTGCTTGATAATGATTTTATTCTATAGAAATTCGTAACTATTAGTATTATTGTGATGAAAATTATATTTTGATTGCTTGGTTAAAAGAAATATTATGAGAAGATGAAAAAACGGTGCCAAACTATGTATTTACAAGACAAAATATATGAGTAGTCCAACCTCTGCACTATGTTGCTTGAAAATATATTGTGGAATAAACAAATTTTGTGTGTAATGTATATGTACAACTTTGCATGCATATGAGCTGAAAGAATTCAACAAGAGATAAGGTAGTAATGCCTTAAGCTCCTAACAATTAATTGGAATAATGCAGAAAAAATTGCAAATATACTAGTGGATGGAAATCAGGAAAGTGTGAATTGATAAACATGCGCATCAATCATCTCCTCACTACGTTTAATCCTATCAAAAGGGATAAATTGTAAGATCATATATTTACTCAATTCAGGTTGGATATCATAGAAATGTGGGGGTATTAAACTATTTAATATAGTTTTTCGTTTCTTTGGTCAATGCTCGAAGAGAAGTTGGATGAATATCGAAATATCATACTTTTATTTAAATTTGTCTAAGCTATTCTCATTTATTGTGACACTAATATTTTGTGAAGATGTTTAGAAGTGTTTGCAGACATGGAAAGTTTTCAAAGAATCTAAACACGATGGATATCTTCGGAATACGGATGTGAAATCCAAGAGCTCAATGGATGCTTCTCCCCAAACATATTAAGAAGCCAATATCATAAATTTCATGAAATTATCTTATTATAATTATATATGCGATATTGACATTTTCAAAAAATTCTTATGTGACTTTGCAGATGTGCGAATATATAGGAGGAGAGTAAGATTTGCAAATTGATGATATCAAATTATTATCTAAGAGAGACATGAAATAAATTATAATCATCGTGGGGGATGGGTTTAAGCCTGTAAGGGAGTCACCTCCGGAAGTTAACTCAACTTTTGTGATTAGATATCCATGAATAAGGTTCAATGTGGTAGAAACAACCCGCATAGTGTGACTTGTAATAGCACTATCTTATTTGTGCTTATCCCTATGGTGATATAGTGCTAATAATAATATAATGTTAGAAGGGTTTAACCTTGAATAAGTACCAAGGCGACAATTCTCGCGTGGTGTGGATCAAACACATCCTTGGAGGGACTCACCTATGTAAGAGTTATTATAAGGCCGTGGTTATGAGATTGAGTTATTCCCTATAGACTCTTACTAGAATTAAGATTAGAGCGCATGACCACTAACAGCGCTACCTGTAATGAACTGAGCCTAAATCGATACTGTGTGTGGAACAATTGAAGTTTGGCCAAAGGGACATAATTCAAGGCTTAGTCCATTATGGCTCTCTCAAACGAAAATTGTTATCACCAAGTGAGGTTCAAGTCCAAAAGACACCTACACCTATTACACGGTATAGCGTTGCCATTATTATATATATTTATCTATTTTTAAAGTTTAAAACTTGTGGAGGATTGTTGAAACATTTTTTTTAAAAGTTTTGAACTTTCACAACAAATATTAATTTTCAATTTTTGATTTTAATATAAAATTAAATCTCATAATTTAGGTTGTAACTTAAGAATAAAAGTTTCATCATTTCAAATTAAAAAACCTTTTAATTTTTAGTTTTAACATAAAATTAAAAGACGACAATATATATTATAACTTATATTTTAATGGTATAAATGTGGGGGTTGAAATTTTATATATAAAAGGTGATTTGATTTCATTGTTGTACATATTTTATAACAACTTGAAGTACCGTCTCCTCTACAATTTTATACTCTATTCTACTATTTTGTTAATTTGATGAGAGATTCGTTCACTTATCTCTCTATGGTTGTGCACATAGAAGGAGAGTGACATGGATTTTTATTTTGGAGTTGTGTAGTGTCAAAAGAACTCGCATGAAAGGGAGGCAACGTGACTTTAGGACAACATCTTTGACGTGACTTCCAAGGCTCGCATTTCTAACTCTTCTAGTATATTCATCTTATTGTTGAATTATTTTATTGTGATATATAAATTAATTATGTTAATTGGTAAGTATTTAAAAATATAAATCACCCAAATTTTCTAACAAAATGTTACTATAGCAAGGGGCCCCACCTATGCTGATATTTCCCCTTATTTTCTTGGAGATTGAATTGTAAGTGATATAGAGTTGAAGAGACTCTTTTTTGGGGGGTTTCACATTTGATTTACAAAATTTCTGCCTTTTGGAATGTTGTTTTCGTTGAAAAATATGTTAAAATAACTGGTACCTACCTTACAAGCAAAAGTCCCTTATAATACTGACATATATAGATGGCAATTTTATTCAAAAAAGTTGTAAGAAATTGTCTATTAATGTCAAGCAGGCTTTTCAAGCGTCTAAGATGCTATTATTGAAACATGTTTGATGTACATTGCTTATCCTTTTTTTTTTTTTTCAATACTGTTGACTCCAACCAACATGCTTTCATCATAGTACATGTTTTTCCACAAATGAGCAATGACAACTCAAAATATAAAAGTAATGCCATATATCGAAAATGATGATGATAGCATTATTAGAAATATATATTTGTAATTACACGATTATACATGTTCTTCTTTCATCGTCATAATCTTCAAAAACTCCAATTAATTAAATTGTAGAATACTTGTGTATATTGTTATTTGCGTATAAAGCAGAAATTTCTTCTTGTTTAAGCCC